GCGTATCAAGAAATCCCCTGTCAAGAAAGGCCATGTCATAAATGAAGATGACACACATTTTTGCGTATCATAATTTTAAATGTTTAAAAAAATATATTTTTTATAGATTTACTAATTTTCAAATTAAATTTGCATTTAATGTCTCATAATAGAAAATAAAATATCATATACAAAACATATAATCCATTTCATAAAATTTAATGTCATACAAAATATCATGTACAAAAAATAGAATCCATTGCATAATATTTTATTACAAATTTGATATTTTTTGTTTCCGTACTTTGACAATTTGTGTTGCTGTTGATTCCGGAGCCAATCCGCGACTCCATCACTTGAAATTACAAGCTGCCCACTAGCAGAAGATAGATGAAGATCATGAATAAATAAAAGTTGTTAATAAAAAGAGGAATAAATTGAGTTTAATTACTAAACTAACCTTCACTTGTTTGACATGAGGAACTGGAATAATGAACACCCCAACATCTCTATCTCCAATAGATCTTGAAAGGCATAACCCACCTCGCCAACATTTTAAAGGACCAATCTATCATAAATATAAAAACATTGGTAAGTTAAGTAAAAACATTGGTAAGTTAAGTAAGATCGCATTTAAGTTGTAGCATATGCAAGAACAATTTGACACTGGTCAAATGTGCTATCTATGGAATTCCAGGATAACAAATTTTCTATGATGTAACAATAAATAAACCTATTCAATTAGTGAAATAATGGATCTATGTTAAAGGAGATTCACTTTAGCAATATTTTCAAGTTCTTCCACAATATGATCAAGTTCCTGCACCAACATCATATGATATCACTACTTGGACATAGTAACATACTTTGACTTTCTTTTCAGTCTTTCCAAGATTTTACTTATTAAGACATAATCTTTTTTATAAAAAATGAGAATAATACCATACGCTTGCTTGCTGAATCAGCTCCCTGCTCCAAAACTTTGAAGGATAAAAAAAAGACATAAATCCCTCCTGATCCTTATCATTAAATGCAATACAAATGACAAGAAACAAGAATAAACCTGCAAAGATGCATGCACTAAAAAATCAGGGACAAATATTATAGTTGTGAATGATAAGTAACCTTTCAAGATTTGTGCTGATGAAACCATCCATGCTCACTGTAAACAAGATTTGTGCTGATGAACCCATCCCTTCAAGCATGAGGACAACCTGGTCAAAATAACCAAAGGCAGAGTCAGCAATATCATTATTATATAACTAAAAAGAAAAAAAATAAGAAATAAGAACACTGTTCACAAGGGGTTTTGTTTTTAACTTAAAACTAAGTCGTTTTGAGTTGTTCAAACTTCTAACTTCTAAACCTAGACTTAAGTACATAACAACACAAAAATCTATTTTTTCCTATGTAGAGAGAGAGAGAGAGTGTGTGTGTGTGTGTGTGTGAGAGAGAGAGAGAGAGAGAGAGAGAGAATACCGTGAAGAGAAAGTTGTATCCCAACTCAAGAATAGAACGAAGAAAGTCAATCCTAAGCCACATCATCTTCAAATAATCAAGGTTCATAATATAAGCTTCCTGTGAGAGATCATATCCTTCAGTAACAAGTGCAAAGCAATGAGAGTGTACATGTTTACATCTCATAAATGCTTTCTGATCAAGGTCAATAATCACCAAATGATTTAAAAGTTTATTGGTTTTGTAACAAATTCTAAAACTTTCCAAAAATAGATCCAAAATTGAGTTTTCTAGATCTACCCATGCTTTATTTAGAGTTGTTAGAATAACCGTTTTGTTTTCCATGGAAGCTTCCTTTAAAACCGTTTCTAGATTTGTGTCACCACTGTCCTACAATATCAGTAAAAATCGATAAACCTTGGGGGGAAATGTATTTACCTGATTACTAAGTTCCACATGTTAATCATAATAAAAACCAATAATAATCACAACTATGATAATAATAATATATATAAAGGAAAGGGTAAAATAGTCATTTACATGGGCTTAACAGGTTAAAATAAACATGGTCCATTAGGGACTGAAAGTGTGACAATAATACTTTTTAAGGAAAAAAAAGTTAAAAGTAAAACTACTGGAGCATAACCACAAAAATCAACAAATATAGGGATGAAAAATGTGATTTATCCATTTATTAAGTTTCTGTTCATGGGCTTAAGGGCCTGAAATAAACATGGAGTGTCACAAAAATAAATGATTATGCACAATTTCTAAAGCTAGGAACAAAGGCTACAATGGAAAGGAGAAGGAGGAAAGCTAAGAAGACTCAAGAACTTATTTATTTATGGGGACAGATGATGCACTAGATTTATCAGGTTTTATTTGTTCCATCTGAACTGCCATTATGTTGACTGAACATTACAAGAGTACTTGACTGGTCATATTGACTTTATCAGCCAGGAGGCGAATTGTATCTGAGTTGTCAGATTTATGTCACGGAAATTAGCCTCACCAGCAACAAAAATACATCAACATTTTATCATATTAGAGGGTTTTGAATGTATTCATGACATAGCTGATGTTCAAGATAAAGATGACTACCCTAAAACATGGCTTTTCCAGTAGAGCTGAACCAGTCCCTTCATATTAAATACGATTCACCACAAGAATTATGAGGATCACAACCTACATAAGAAAACAGGTCAATAATTCAGAATACCTGCATATACAATTTTATCATTTTTAGGTGTGGTGGGACATTGGATGAATTTCAATAACAGATAACAATTTTTTTCTAGTAGTAGCCTTTCAATAATCAGAAAAAAGTTCATTAAATCTAAACTAAAAGTGGAATTCTCACTAAAAGGTAGACTTTTACTTGTTGGAAAACCACCTGATCTTATTATGAAACTTACATCTGGGGAGACGCTTTGTGTCCCATACTTGTCATCACTAGGCAGAGGTCATGACTTATTTTGTCCAGTGTTTTCTTTGGCTTTTGATGTATAACCTGAATGGGATTAAAACTGATTAAAATAAAATCTTTAAAACCAAAAAGACTAAATTTTTATATAATAAAAGAAACTTTACCAGAAATGCTATAGCCTGTCATCCCAAGCAGAACCTGAATACTGCAGTCCTTTTGTTTAGCAAATAAAAATAGAAAATAGTGTTTGGCATGACGGAATTGAGGAAGGAATGGAATCGTTAATTCCATTCCAATGAAAGAAAATATCAATCCAGAGTTACCTCAAAAGTTGCGTTAAAACACCAATGGTCTAGTTCAGACAATCCCGCTTTCACATACTCACCATTGCTAAACGAACAGCACTCACATCTCAAAAGTAGACTGCATTTTATAAAAAAATAAAAAAAGCCCAAAGGCCCAGAATCATATTTTATATTCAAATCACAAAAGAATACACTCTACAAAAAATAAATATATACCTGTTAAACAATACACTCTTCAAGATTTATGTTTAATCCTACAACATTTGGATCTCAACCTGTAAGTTATGCTGCTATGAGTAGCATTTTAGCTTAACAGCAATTTTACCTGCAACAGATGCATGCTCAGAATTTCTGTGTAGGAAATGCTTCTGGAAGTCAAGTGGGGGTGGGGGTGGGGGCAGAGAATGAAACTAAAATATTAGAAAAAAAAAACTAGTACCATAATGTACCATCACTCCATTAAATCATATCAATGAAACTAAAATATTAGAAAAAAACTAGTACCATAATCTGCAAGAAAGTGTAAACATAATGTACCATCACTCCATTAAATCATATCAATGAAACTAAAATATTAGAAAAAAACTAGTACCATATCAATGGAATAGATTGATAAGGGGTTGCTTTTGATGATACGAAGAGGCACGTGCAGTTCTTGTCAGCATCATAAGCAGAGACACCCAACAAACCATCCTAAGAAACACATTGGAGAAAAATGAATTCATAGAGTTCACAGAAAAAAAAAAGTAGAATCATTGGCAAGTGGATAGATATTATTACCATGCCAGCAAGTGGAGAAACATCTGTAACATCCCCAAAATGATCATTCCCATTGTCACTCATGATGGTACCGTGTGCTTGAGATATGTGGCGGCTCTTCTGAATTTTCTACGGATCTGTAAGGAGGGTTAAGGGAAATCAAATTCAGGAATCAAGAACTTGGATTCCATAAATACGAAATCCTAATTGGAAATCAGGCATTCGTTTTTCAACGAGATTTAGTCAAATATATTAATCAAGTAAAATTGTTTGGTCATAGAACCAATTATAAAAGAATTTGTTGATTTTCAATTATGGACTTGATTCAAGTAAGAATGAATCAAGAAGAGCCCTTGAATGAATTGGTCAAGCAATTAAAAACAAGATAGTATTTTAAAGATGTTAAAATTAGGTAAATTTACATCACAATGAAAAGTTCAATCCTGCAAGTTTTTAAGCAATTAATAAAAGAAACCATTTCAAGAAAGTCAAACATCTATAAAATTGTCTATTCATGGAAGATGGAACTACCAAAGAATTTGCTGATTAATTGCTTGAAGGTAACAAAGTTGAAACTTTTTAAAGAAACAAAAACAAATTCAAGTAGATTGTAACAAAGAACCCTTGATTAGAAACGTTCAAACAATTGAAATCAAGAAAGTAATGTAAGTTTCAAGCACACACTAAGTTCGACCATGGCAAATTTCAAGCAATTCAAAATAACCCACTTCGAGTAAGATCAGATTAGTAAGTTTATTCAGTGATACGACCACATATAAACCAAGATCAGATCTATAAGAACGCTCCACTGATCTACTCAAATAGTAGACATAGAAGTCAAAGGATAGTTTTTAAAAATTATTAAATAGGGCAATCTTTGATCATAATCCTTTTCATCCATGGTAAGCTATAGTAAGGTTATAAAGCATAAATAAAGAGAAATTTACCTTGCATAAAAGGTCTAGGGCAAACAAAGCCATCATTCACTAGAGAAATATTTGAAGGCATAGGAACAGCGGGCGAGTCGACTCCGAACTGCGTACCCACAAAATCGACCTCAACCGACATCTGATTCACATCTCCAGCAGTTTCAATAGCAGTCTTGAGATCACACTTGGAAATCCAGCAAAAACGGTGCCGTTTCCAACCGGACCCGGAAAAGTAGCAGACCCATCAGCAATTACAGCATTAGAAGCAGATACCAAGTACTCATCATGCTGAAAACCCACAAACACCCTCCATGATTTAAGCTCTTCGTCGGCGTTATTGAGGACTCTGAGGGTTGATTCGAAGCGGTAGGGTTGATTTGATGTTCGGTTTGGTGGGAGCTTGGATCCGGATGTGTAAGTGTAGGATAAGTAGACGCCGTTGCAGGAATCGGACGCTGGTGGCGGTGACGGTGGTGTTGGAGTTGGAGTTTGGGCGGCGGTAATGGTGGCGAGAAGGAGAAGTGTGGTGGTGATGAGAGAGAAGCTAGCAAATCTCAGGCTTTTAGCGATTGAGCGAGTCTCAGAAGCCCTTTTTCTTGATTGAGATGATGAAGTCGAGAGATGGAGATGAAATCGTAACCTTCGATCTTTGATTGAGAAGTTGCACAACAGTGTGAGGAGAATGAAAGATGCGTGAAAATGCTTAGGGCAGGGAGGGTAGCGGGCTTTTCTAATTTTTTGGCTTTTCTTTTCCCGCTTGTAACTAAGGAACGCGCGTTCATTAAAATTATAAAGTGACACATATAGAGGGCGCGCATTTAAGGTACAGCGCCCTCCGTGTTTTTATTTTTTTTCTTTTGACACTAATTTAAAGGCACGTAATAATGCGTGACCTAAATCCTTAAATTTTCTGAAGAGATGACACTTTTTTAATGTCACTCTCGTTTGCGTAACATAAATTAATGAGTGTCGTAATTTGCGCGTCGTAAAAGGCTATTTTTCTAGTAGTGTGTGAATATTATATGGTATATTTACTTGTGAATATTACACATTCTAGTCACAATTAAATATTACATGGTATATTCATTTATGAATATTACACATTATATTCACATATAAATAATATATAGTATATACACTTGTGAATATGATACAATATATTCATATTTAAATATTAAACATTGTATTCACTTGGGAATATTAAATAATATTTTCACTTGTAAGTATTAGATGATATATTCACTTATGAATATTAGATGATATATTCATATGTGAATATTACACAGTTTATTCACATATGAATATTACACATGATATTAACATATGAATATTACAAAGTATATTCACAAATATATATATATATATATATATATATATATATATATATATTATTGTTTTATATGTTATTCACATATGAATAACATATAAAATTGTATATTGTTTTGTGTTTTAATAATCATATACTAATTAAGGTGCGAAAACATATTAATATGTGAATATAACGTGGTAATTTAGTTTATGCATTTCATCGAACAGTTGGAGTGCATACAAATAAGCTTTTTTTTTAAATGCGAAAAACATAATACTTTGACTATTTAAAACTTATAAAATAGTAGATTGATAGAGAATAATATGAAAATTTTCAAAAAAAATGATTTGATGTTTTTCTAACCTTAATTTCAAAGTTTTGTTTGATGATCGATGTTGAAAGAATGATATGAAGTGAATCTGTTATTGATTATCAATGATGTTGATCTAATGACACTGTGAGTATAATTAATGGTAGATGTTGAAGATATGCTCGTATTCAAGCATAATTGAAGGTTGGATTTAAAGAACCAAAAACAATTTTTTTTTTTGTCTTGAAACATCCCAAAAATACAACCCATTTTTTGTAATACATTATTAAAACCATGAAGTTAATCATCATATAATAAAACCACGAATCACATGTCTCAAATGTAAAAGTGAATGTATCAAATCAACTGATGTCAAAACATATCAAAACATCTGAATAAAAACTCCCAAGATAAACTGAAGCTGTGATGTGTGTCATGCCATCATCCCGAACTCTTCCCTTTACTTGCGGTAGTACCTGAAACCAAAAACTGAAACTATAAGCACAAAGCTTAGTAAGCTCCCCCAATCTACCACATACCATGCAATAACATATAAAGCAACTACTGGGCCTTGCCCACTACATTGGGTCGAAGTCTGGAAACTGCATCGGACCGAAGTCCGGAACTAACCACGGCCTTACCCTCTGCATCGGACCGGTGTCCGGAAATTGCATCAGACCGAAGTCCGGAACTAACCAGGACCTTGCCCTCTGCATCGGACCGAAGTCCGGAAACTGCATCGAACCGAAGTCCGGAACTAACCAGGGCCTTACCCTCTATATTGGAACGAAGTCCAGAACTGACTGAACATAGCATAGCATAATCATAACTACTGGCATAAACACATATACTGCATACTGCATTGGATAGAAGTGAGAAACATATAACACAAATACATGATTGAATCACAAAGACATCAAGCACACGGATCTACTGCATCAGACCGAAGTCCGGGACTACTACTAACTAAACGGGCCGACATTGTGGTCGTAGACTCATTCCTACTAGAAGGAAAACTCACATCGTTACGCTGGCTGCTGAGATGTTAAATCTGAAGCTGGCTGACTGCTGCTCCGGAACTCCCCGACTACAAATTTCATAGACACTAAATCAGATACTGATAAGTGTCCTCAGGGTAAAATAACTAATTTACCCCTGGTCAAAGTCAACTTTCAGTTGTCAGGACTCGCGGAGTTGGGCCGCCAACTCACCGAGTCCCTAACACCTTTTATAATCCTCTACTCGCTTCAACTCGTCGAGTTTGGCAACAACTCGACGAGTTCTTCTTCCGGATTAACATCGAATCTATCTTCATCTGACTCGTCGAGTTGTATGAACAACTCGTCGAGTTCTCCTTCATCATATGAACACATCCAGGCTGTGACTCGCCGAGTTGTATGAACAACTCGTCAAGTCTGTTCTTGAGGAAAAAATATTGCCTTGGACTCGCCGAGTCATGGCGTGGACTCGTCGAGTCTCCTGCACCCCACTACTATACAGTCACCTCTAGTCGGTGTTAGTGCATCCAATTCATAGATCTGGGCTTCTAGGGATGGTTTTGCACGTAAATTTTCCAACTTTACGTACATACACAAGTGAATGGGGCTAAAACACCAAAATCCTACAATACTGAGCACTTAGGGTGTGGAACAAGACTATACTTGCATAAAGGTAGCTATATTTAGTTTCTAGAGCTCAATAACATCCAGATCTATGGTCTCCATCCTAAGGAGACTTCAAATCTCAAGTTTGAATCACATAAGGCTCCAAAAGAGACATAAACAAGCATAAAAGAGGGTTTAATGGAAGAATAAGCAAGGTAATAACTTTATTACCTGAATATGAAGCAGATGGAAGCTAGTTCTTGGATCTTCTTCCTCTTCTATTGATCCTCTTTCCTTCTTTCTCTTCTATAACTCCTAAGCTATCACAAAACACTCAAGCTCAACAATGGGGACTAGGGTTTTACAGAGAAATGCTCTAAAGGTGATGGAGGCTGGGGTGGGAGGCTATAATGACGTTTAAATAGGGTGCAAACCCTGGGATTTAGGGTTTCATCCAGACTAGCGGACTCGCCGAGTTCGGGATACAAACTCGTCGAGTCACCTACTAAAGACGAGTGCAAATCCCGCCTCTACTCGACGAGTTGGGCTACAGACTCGTCGAGTCTTAAGAAAGGAAAAATACTTTATTTAAATTACATACCAGAAATGAGGCGTTACATGTAACTGTTGAATGATGTTGATGAACATGTTTTTGACGAAGATGGATGATTAATTAACACTGGATGATGTTGATCGAGGATTTAGTTAAGAAATCTGGATGATCGTTGAAGGTTGGAGAAGAAAATTGGATGATAAACGATCGAGTAGTAATGAATTTGAATTGTTATCAAATGATCAGTAGTTACGTATCTGTAATTGAATGATATCATATTATATTTACAAGTTTTGTTATCGTGTATTTTATATTAAGATGCTAATTAAATAATTGGTTGAGAATGATTCCCCCATTCTCATTTTTTTTCAATTGAACATTCATCTCTCTCTCTCTCTCTCTCTATATATATATATATATATTATATATATTATATATATATTATATATATATATTATATATATATTATATATATATATAATATATATTATATATATAAATTTTTATTAGGATGTAGACATAATTGTGAAAGTTTACAAGAATATAGATGAAATTCTTCATTATTACTTTAATTCAATTTTCACATTACACAAACAATAATATACTGTTAGAAAATACAAGCTTTTGAGATTTTCACATATGACATCATTTTTTCACTTTTATATATATATATTATATATATATAATATATATAATATATTATATATATATATAATATATATATATATATATATAACTTTTATAACGATATAACGTAATTATAAAAGTTTACAAAAAATATAGATGAAATTCTCCCTTATTATTTTAAATTGAAATTTCACATTATAGAAATATACGATATATTTTTAGAAAATACAAGCTTTTGAGATTTTTACATATCATTTTTTTTTTGCGAAAGGCATGTGAGGAAACTCATTCTTTCCTCACATATGACATCATTTTTTCACATATATATATAATATATATATATATATTATATATATATAATATATTATATTATTATATAATTCTAATTTTTATAAGGATATCGATGTAATTATAAATTTTAAAAAAATATTACATTATTTTTGAGATTTTGAGATTTTTACATATGACATCATTTTTTTTTTTTTTTTGCAAAGGCATGTGAGGAAACTCAGGCTGTTTTATAAATAATAATTTATATTATTAAATTATTATATTTTATATATATATATATATATATTATATATATATATATAAAAGGATATAGACATAATTATAAAAGTTTACAAAAAATATAAATGAAATTCTCCCTTATTATTTTAAATTAAAATTTCATATTATAGAAATATACGATATATTTTTAGAAAATACAAGCTTTT